CCTTCAGATACTTAACAAATTTTATCCTTTTGAAGACTAACGAACTATTAAAACATGCAAAAATTAACTTCATAGAAAATATTAAATGAGCCAAAAGAGCATTTGGACTTTTCGTCTCTCAGCAACAAACCGGTCCACTTGATCTGAACCACACATTAACTTCGTAGAAATAAGAGCTAAAACTATCATTCCATTGTTCTTACTTCCATCATTCTTACTTCCTTGTTATTTCAAAATATCCAGTTATTAAAGAAGAAATATGACTCTTCTTTCAGTTTCAAAGTAGCAAGGTTTAAAACTATTTCAATATTTAAAAATATGTGAAAATTTCCTTCTGATGGGTAACAAAATTATTTTTAAAAGAGTGAACATATTCTAGTATTTCATACATTTAAAAAAATAAATTACATTGTACATTTTCAGATATAAAAATGATTTCATATGTAGATTACTTCTTCCTAATCCCATAACTATCCCACAAAGTACTTGCTAAAACTATAGCCTTCACATGGAACGTATGGTATGAAGATAATATGTTAAGACAAAACTTGATAAAAATACTCTAGATGATTATTTAAATTAAGCAAGTTCCTCCTCTTCTTCATTGCTTGAAATTATTATGAAATATAATTTATGTCCTGTATATTACATGTATGAAGATAAGAAGCTAATTCAAAACAACACAAAAATCACTACAGATGAGTATTTAAAATAAGCAAGTTCCTGTTCTTCATATGATTGAGACTTTTATTCCTGTCTTGACAAAAACCCTCACCTCTCAAAACATTCCACAAGTTGTGGTGTGTGCATTTATGTACAAATTTCCAAAGGCAAAGGAAATACGTTTAATGTTGCAAGAAGCTCAATAAGATAGATGTTCATCAATGTCAACATGTGTCTACAAACCTTTTTTTTTCCAAACCTTATTGCAAAAAGAAATCATGAACTACAGTATATGTTATTACTTTCTTAATTCTTTCTTCCATCTAACCTCAAATGACACAGGCTGGAGCTATGACGAACCAAGCAGAATGAAGAACTGGTCATGACAAGTCAATCAAATATAAAAGTCAATGTGTTAATGATGCAATACCCAAATACATGACTGAAACTAATTCACTATATTCAACACTATTAAGTAATTAATCTAATCAACAACTTCTAAAAATTTGTTACACAAAATGGCCATATTACTCAGCACATGCAAAGATCCTTTGCCGTTAAAAAGATGAACTGAATACTAATAGAAGACTTGAGAATGCTACATGCTTCCTGCAAACTTTAAGCCAACCATCCTCAAGCACCAAACCAGCAATTCAATGTTGTTGGCTCTAGCAATGAGCAAAAAAGGTATAATGAAGAAAAAGTGGAAAAAAAAGGCTATTTTTACAGAAAAAGATGTGTGGCATTAGCACAGTAATTAATGAAAGAAAATTAAAATTATCCAGCCAGGAATAAAGTTCTTGGGAGCAGGCAACATATAGCACTGTTACACACCTACTCATTTCCTACCTCATTTAAGTTCAAATAATATTAAAAATGACAAATTGAAAACTACAAATAGTCCTGGACCTACACCCTCACATATAGTCAAGAAGCAAAATAGAGAATACAATCGAATCATACCACTTGAAGTCATACTTATTATAAAACAAAAATATTATGATCTTTCAATAATGATCTTCTAATGAAAATACTTTCAATTTTTGATTAAATGAACATTTTTAGCACCACACCCAGAAAATGAAAGCATTTCTACATCAAATAATAAAATACCTAATAAATATACTTGTGAAAAGGGTTAGTGACATTAACATAATAGTACTCGTTCATCTGCAATTACCTCAATAAAGAAGTGGCAATATGTGAAACATTTCCAAAATGTAGGCAAACCCAATAATTTACTCATTATTTTGAAAATAGATCAAATTTAAAGTGGTAAGACAGCCCAGGAAAATATTGAGAAATTCTGACTTTCTCAAATCACAAACAGTCTAGTATTTCTAGAGCTTGGTGGGAACAAATGAACATTCAAAATCAACCATCTTATCCTCCTTTGTCTGTGTTTGTGCAATCACAGGGAAATTTTAATTTTGAAGGTGTAAAAGTGGGGACAATTTTACGTAGTGAATAAGGGGGAATCGAAGAGACCAGAAAAAAAAAACAGTGTAACTGTCAGGAATACGTAAATTCCAGGAAAGTCAAAGAGCTAGTGTTAAATTTTATGCATTTAAAGTTTTTAAGAAGTGTCTGTATAGATAGTATAGATAGCAGGTTTGTCGCCCAAATCCTAAACATCTCTACCATGCTTTTCTTATGTTGAAATATTCAATATTCAATCCTCTTGTTCCCTTTTTCACATCTAAGTTATCCAAATTCCATTCTACTCACAGAACTACTGTATATATAAAGAAATTACTCATGCAACTTTTCATGAACAATGACCTTGCTTCCCCTCTCTGGCACAACAAACAGTTAAAGGCAAAAGCTCGCAGTGAGCACTGATGACATTTCAAACACAACTTCACTGGCATGAAATGGAAACAATTTTCTTTTGAAGGCAAGAACTTCTATCCCTTATGTTCTCCAAAAAATCTTAAGAAATGACTGAAGCAGGTGAAGATCTATCACAGAAGATACCTCGAACTCCTGAGAAAGTTAGAAAGCAAATTACTGAGAATGATGCGAAGGCATGACCTGGGCATGACTGATTCTCCAGAGATTGGCATTGCTTTATGTCTAGTGGCCAAATTCGTAAGTAATGCCCTCTCGCATTTCTTCAATCCATTCCTCAAGAAAAGTTGCGCGAGTATTATCAGGGATATTAAAAACCACATTTAGTGACAGGTAGTTAGTTCGCAATTTTCTTTAAGAAAATGAAGTATTATTAATATTCAATATAAAAAAGTAAACAGGAAAAGAAGCTAATGAATCGTAGACCTATCTACAATTTGAAAATTATAAAATAGAAGGGGAAAAAAAAGAAAATTCAAAGCAAATGTTACAAATGCATTCAGAATGTAAGTTTGCAAACATTTTTCAAAGAAAAAATTGTAATCTTAAAAACAAAAATCGAAAATTAGACTCCAACATAGATATTTGTAAATTCAATAAAAAATCTAAATTATAACCGCAAGTTCCTTTAGAAAACTTCAGAGAATCCAGAGACATTATTCTCACACTCACTTTTACTGGTATAGGTAATATATATTGAAATCTATTTATTGAAAGTGCTTCACAGCTCAGACATCTCAAATATCAGAATATTTTCTTTGAATATCAAGTAGTTAGTGGGATGATTTGACAAATAGGTACTAATGAAATGTTAAACCATTTCACAAATAGGTACTAATGAGTCTTAAACCATGGTCTCTTTTATGCATTATGCAATGTTTTATGAATTGTTTTGTCTTGTTTAAATGCAACGCATTTGTGAAACCATCTAGCAACTTTTAACACTCTGCAGTAGGTCCATCAAGATGACATCAAGCATTGATGATGCTGCAAAGAAACTGGTTACCCTAGTTGCCCTTTCTGAGAATTATTGACACTCAATATACCCAAATTATTAACACTACTGTAAATAACAAACCATGAACTCACATTAAATGTAAAAGAGACAAGAATTAATGTAACACCCACATCTTTTGTTCATCCTAACAGTCACCACACAATCAAATAAAGATCCTGAACACACCTAAAAAACAAAAAGTAACAAAGAGAAATAACACTAATATACAAATTAAATGTATGACAAACTTTAAGGAAAAACACAAGACTAGAATATACAAAAAACTTCCCACAAGTACATCACATGCAGACTCATATTACACTCACTTACACTTCATTTATAGTTATTGAACTACGGATCACAGATAATTTTGTGAGGAACTTTCACAAAATAAACGAGACAAAAAACCTTGATTGAATAATATCCTATTCTAAGCATGATCTGAATAAAGTACTGTTAAGCGAGACAGTAAGTTTGCCATTAAAGTAAAATTATTTTATGCTGATCAAATATCCAATTAGACTCATAATCAAAACACTTCATTAAGTTAAATAAACCCTAAGATAGTATAGAATATTACAGGAGCAATGAGAGAGTTAAGTACTGGAGGAGACTAATTGACTTTTCTATTTAAAAAACTAACAAACATTTCCCAGCATGTCTGTGTTAAAATTATTTTTTTATGAATTTGAAATATAAAAATAGAATCGTAATATACATGTTAATCAATGAGCTTCAAAATATGAAAGTGTGCATTAGTATCTAGAAAGTCTACTTTCCCGTCGTTAAGATTTTATGACACAAATACACAACAAAAATGGTACCATTTACTTCAATCATGTTCATGGATATGACAAAATTCACTACCAACAACAGCACTATTTCGACATAACATGCCACTGCGACACGTTGCTGCGCACAAAGGTCGTGGAGTCCCTGGCCGCGAAGGTGTTCGTCTCGTTGCATTACTATTAAGAAGGAGGGAAAAAAAACAAACAATATAATACGAAAAGTTATTAACTCTCTTTGTAAATAATATTAATGTTGTTCAATATTTAATTACATATTTCCATATTATATTTACTACAATTACACAGTACATTTGGTACATATATATCAAATATTTTCCATGTGTAATTGTTATAGAACACTTGCCTGCTTGTTGAAGAACGTGGAGGAGTTGGGGGAGACATAAAATTTTTCTTAACAGAGGAAATATTACGTAAAGGTGTCAAACTGCTGCGTGCTATTGGTTGGAAATGTTGCCGACTTAGATGCAGTTCCTGCCAACAGTGTTTTTTTAATATTAATAATAACCATTCTAACAAAAGAGTAAGGACAGGGTGGAAAATAAATACATTTCAAAAAGATGAAAATTAACAAATGAATTGATTAAACACATTGATTTAATGATTCCTCAAGATGTCAGAGACAAGAAATTCCAAATATAATACAAGTTTTGGAAGAACATACAAAGAAATAGAAGAAAGAAAAGCTGCACTCAAATGGCGAGTATTTTACATTTATTAAATAGCAGAAATTTAATTTAATATACACTGGAACTCATCATCATAATAATAAATACATCAGTAATTTATTATTGCATTATATTTTATTAGTTTTTCTTTCACACACATTAGAGATGGCATTTGTTTATATCACATGAGAAAGAAATCATTACAAGTAACACAGAATAAAAATATGAAATAAGATAAAAAAGTATTCACCCTGTTATGAAATAAAGGTGGGATAGAAGCACTTCTTTCACTTTCATCTTGTGAGTGTTCATCTGTATCATGATCATTATCATAACGGTCTTTTTCTACTGAATGCTGTTGATTGTTAGGTACTGTTGCCGACCACTGCTTGAAGCAGCCTAAAAACATTAGCACATTTTATAGAGGAGTGAAATACAAAAGAAAGAAGTTTTGAGAAATTAGCTCATAAAATAACAGGGATTTGGATTCACATTTAAGATTATTTAATGATCACATCACTGCATACAATGGTCAATATGTTTGCAATAAACATACACTGGTGCTGTAAAGCAAAGATTCTTAAAATATAAAAATACTCATCATGCATGACAAAGGGAAATGAACCCCACAATGAAATTATTGACACATTCTGTTTTACTCCAAGCACAAAAGTAGTAATGTTTCAGAACAACTACAACTGACAAATTATAACATTTTCAGTCATCCTATTAATAGTAATGAACTGATCTTACAACAATTTAACAAATATAATTACCTATCAGTTTCGTAATGTTTTCTCTGCACGATTCCCACATAGATTTTATCTGACACTGGATATTTAGATCAGAATGCTCCAAATTTCCATTTACTGGTTTCATGAATTGTGACTTTTCCGCATGAGTATTCCTATTGCTGGTATACAACATGAGATTAACAGTAAACCAGTGTACTGCAACAAAAATATAATATAAAAGTAATAACAATTAAGTTATAACACAGCAGAGAATTTATTGGGCACCTATTGTGAGGATATTAAATTTATTTTGCTTCCTTATGCATTAACTTAAAAATTAAGAACAAACAATTTTAAAAAAATTATCATCAACGAATTCAATGAATTGGGAACAAGTCTGGATAGTTATAAAATTACAATATCCCGATTTTTTGTTACCGTATATATTTTGAACTATATTATTTACTTTATACAATTTTCATTATTCTACCAATTTTCTTTGACTTTTCTTGGGCAAAAAATATTTTTAAAACTTTTAAAAATACTTTTCATTTAAAAAATCAATATATATCTTTTCCTTACATTTTCAGAATTGCAAGCCTTAAGTGAAGTACCCCCCACAAAAACCCAGTCAAATAAGACTAAATGTGGAAAGAATAAGTGTCATCTTGTTTCTTGTTCTTTAATATCAATTTACCAAGGTACTGATTGTTGCAGACATGTAGCACTTCAATGACAATGCTACAATGATGTATAACGACCACTAAATTCCCTTGTTTGAACAATGGCTAACATTGCTCTCAAAGATAAAAATGTACTCTGACAGGAGTACAAAGATAAAAATTTAATCTGACAGGAGAAGCAATATTTATTTTTTTAATTGGTTAAAAAATAATTATTAACGAAATTTTAAATTCTGTAATTTTTTTTCTTGATACGTAGTCTAAAAATTAGGGAGTATAAAGATATAACAATGTTATATCCTTTTTTACATATTTGTTACATATTCTTATTATTATTTTCATTACATATTTGTGAACATATTTTGTCATTTCATTCTTTATATTTTTCTACTTTTAAAAATTATATTACAATAACTGTCACAATCAGCAAGTTGAACTTTTACAATATGAAATTTCTTCCTCTATGTTTACATTTATTTTCTTTCCTATTCAGTTTCCCATCTTCTTAAACAAAATGTATTGTGGCTTCATGAAATACATTGGCATTATTTTGAATTTCAGACTTTACTACAAAAAAATTCTTAAATCCAAACTTGACCTATTTTTAAATTAAGAGGGTGTTGACACTGACAGGTTACATGTGCGAGGCACGCAATGTTCTCGCCCAATATGGATGCTGGGGACTTTCACTTCTGACTAATAACCTTTTACATATGGCACCACAGGCCCCATACATCCTGTGGCCATCGGTTTGAAACCCCTAGTGTATATTACACATTTTTAATACACCAGTATTGCCATTTTGAGTTTTTAATTGGATTTTCCCAATTTTCAATAGTGCGTTTTTATTACTTTTACATTTTTCCCCTTCCAGACCCAAATGATAACTGATAAATGAAGTTTTACAGTAATACCAAAAAATATAATATAATAACATCTCATTGATGATAGACACCCTCATATGTAATAACAAAAAAATTACAGGAGTAAGGAATAACTCATTTTGTCATTAATAATGTACAGTTGGCTAAGTTGAGGCTTACTACACTTTTTACTGTCGACTCCGGTCATAGTGAACTCTGATATAATGAACCCTCGGTTATAGTGAACCAAAATCATTGTTTCCTTTACACTTACATTACAAGCCTAAGAAAATTCGGTATAGTGAACCTGAATCTCAGCTATAATGAATATAGGAAATACAACATCCTGAAAATTAATTTCCTTCTGGAGAAGAATATATTGCCCTGGTGACACAAATTCCAACACTAGGCAGCTTGAAAATAATATCAATAGCCAAAAGACATACTCAAAGTCTGATCCTCTCAGATGAAAGTAATGGACCCAGAATGAGGGACCTTACTGATAACCTTATTTTCACTGTGGAAACAGAGGCGGTGCCTTGAATGGGCTGCAACTGGTAGCGGCGAGCGAATGCTTCCTTCAGTATCAACCTTGGCTTTTCTTGGTATTTCATGAGACAAAGTACGTTGAGTTCAATTGAGTAAAATCAATTCGAAATTCGATTTAATTTTGACATCATCGAATATTGAGAACCAAAAATGTTAGACCTGGGAGTTCACTATAACTGGAGTCAATATATTAACTTATTTACAACAGGCAATCTCCCAATTACAATTTGTATACAATAAAATTAAGCAAATGAATCATTAATTATCAAAGAGTTAGAATATACTATACGAAGTGGCCGAAGTGCTGCCATCTTTGCAACAAATTGAAGCCATGTGTTTTGCAGTCAAAGCAGAAGAAACTAAGTATTCTAGTATTCCGTTTGGGGCTGGTTATAGACGGGTGGGCGTGTTCCTGCATAGGTTATTGTCATAAGAAAGGAAATGTTATTGTAGTTAGCATAACACCTGAAAGTGAATGTTATTGCAATAAGAAGCTAACAGATCAGATCATTAATAAGGCGCCAAACTTGAAAAATAATATTTTTGTGGCTTGATATATTCCGAACATACTGAAGGCATTGTTGACATTATTATTCACACTACTAATATAATTTAAATACAGGTAAACGAACAGACAACAAAATAGAAAAAATGTAAAATACAAACAACATGTCGATTCAGTTCAGCAGTTCGACACGCCACCATCAGGAACCTCTCTTGTTTTGACCGCAAAAAACATGGCGACTTCTAGTTCTGTGAGCGTCCACCAAGAACACTGAAACCATAGGGTCATACACTATGTAGTATATTCTAGCTAATTGCTAATGACAGTTATTCAAAAAATATAACTTTGCCAGTTGCTGGAAACAGACTAGATTTATCTAGATCAACATTAATACCATCATACGTTCTTAACATTCTCCATTCTCCAATGGTGCATTACAATACAAATTTGTTTTTGCTATAGGAACAAAAAAAAAAAAAAAATATGAATTGATTGTCAAGAAGATTTCATGCAGTACTTTCATTTATCCGCTAACAGTTGCATATTAATTAAACTTATTGTCAAGCAAAAACAATACATATAAATAAAAAACTTTGAATGAGACTTAAAGGAATTATATTGATCATCTTGCTCTGAGCTCATAGTCATGTGTTAATCTAGGAAATGGGATATGCAATTTCCATGCCATGAAATTAAAAAGAGTGTTGCACAGATTCAATGTTATTAATAATGTTATCTGATAAAAGGGTGACCAAACTGAAGAACAATAAAGCAATGTTAGTACCATCACTGTAAAATATAATATTTTCAAAAGTCTTTAAATCTTTAAAATGAGAAGACATGCCTCAAACAAAACCAAGCATTCTAATAGCCTTGGTAATTATGTAATCTACATGTGCATGTTTGTCCCCTTTAAGATTATTATCAAATACAACTTCAAGGTCCCTCACCTGGTCAACCCTTTCCAAAATTACATTATTCAGTAATACTGAAATTGCACATAATTCCTCTTTTTCGTAAATGACAGTTTTACATTTCTTAATATTCAAATTTACTTTATTATTTCCACACCAATTTCATTGAGAATTCAAATTCATAGGCGAATCAAGGCTATCATTCAGGGTTACAACTTCACTATACAATTTTAAATTGTCCGCACACAAGAGGAAATTACAAGATGGTACATTTTTTATATCATTAATGAACAAATGAAATAATATAGGATCCAGATGAGACCCATAGGAAACCCCAGATGTAACAAAAATGCCCTTGTGTAAAATGTAAACTTTGTATTTTGTTAACACGCAACCTTTATATTCAACATTTTGATATCTTCCAGATAAATAATACCTCATCCATTTTAAAAGGGTATTCCAAAATTAGACATTTTATTTGAAAAAAGTGATCGACAGTATCAAAAGCCTTTGAGAAATCAATACAGATAACACCTACTTGTTTAATAATAGTATTAAATATTTATAATACTTATATAAATATTATATAAATTATATATATTTACATAAATAGTGTGACTTATATAGTACATAATATCGTTGTAAATATTTATTTATTGCAATATTTTTCTGAAAGCACCTTACAAAAACCTCCCATGTGGCTCTTACCACACATGAGATCATCAAAAAATTGTTAAGGTCATATAGGAGTTTTTTTTATATTCTATTTTAAGACCATAACTTCTAATTTTCTTTGGAAATTTTCTTATCAAACATAAGAACAAGCTAATTCTGAATCATTGATACCAAAATATAAAAATTGTCAATTTCATCACATAAAAGGTTGTCCATCATCAATGACGAAAATATACAGTTTACAGATGGATTGCCCCAGTATATTTGTACTTCAACAGGATGGCCCTCACTTCCTGAAACAAATTTCCCTGACTTTTCCCGGTTTTTCAAACTTCACACTGATTTTTTACTTTCGGAACTTTTCAATGATTCACAGAATATGTCACAATATTCAAAGAAAATATTAAAGCAAGCCTGATATTAATTTGGTAGCTCTCCGATTTCACCATGAGAAAGAACAAATTAAAATAAACTCAACAAACAGAAATGGAACAAAAAATAATGCTGTTCTACTTTTTGGGAATAATATCTAGTTTAGAAACCATCTCAAAATTTTCCCTAACTTTTAACGATTCTTCTACAAGTTCCCTGATTTTTCTCTTACTTCTCCAGAGAAATGAAATTCTCTGATTCTTCCTGGTTTTCCATGTTTCTCAGAAAGTGACCATCCTGAGAGAGCCAAGTTGGCTGACGCAGAAATACAACATTACAAGGTTTTGCTCTTTGTGGCAGTTCATGTTTACGAAATTTCCAAATAATCCACTTAAACGTCTATTGTTCATGGATTTATAGGTAATTTCCATAAAATGTGAGGTATTAGCTTTGTTAAATGATTGTGATCTCAGATATCTGTATGAAAATTGTGTACAATGCCAGACAAATGAAAAATATTAATTTGGCAAAGGCATGAGGAAAATTTTTCATCAGAAATTAACAATAGGTGTGCCAATTTTTTTATTTCTTTTTTTTTTTTTAAATCATGTCAATAGGTAAAATATTTCTAACCAAAGAATCTATCACCTTACCTGCTGATAAAAGGAGGATGATCATTGACATTGAAATAAAATCTAAGGCTGTATTATCACCATGATGATAAAGTACAGAAAGATTCAAAGGAACTATTATAAGAAGGCACATCCTTGTAAAAGCTGGGGCATGCACATATGCAATTGCTATCATTCCCAGAAGGAGGTAGACAATATGCATGAAAACTGTGTATATACCTAGAACAAAAAAGCAACAGTATATCTTCTCGTCAACTAATTCATAAACATTCTTTTGCATTATTAATATACATGACAATGAAGTTTAGACTTGTTTTTGTTACTTATAGCATTAAAAGATGGTGTGGTCATTAAGATTGAACACAATTTTTTTGCCACAACAGTAAATCCAGAAGACACATTCAAAGTTGAAGATTATTATCAAGTTAATTGCTGAAAAAGACTTGGCTTCCTCGTTGATAGATATGACCTTTTTGCAATACTTATAACTAGGCCCAGATTGTTTGTGAAAAATGTTTATGACCTAAAAATGTTAGAAATATGCAAGCATTTATGACACCAAAACATGAAAATATGACAAAAATGTTTAGTTGCATTTTCAAAAGCTTCAACTTCTTGCTGCTATTTAGATAACCATTATATTGAAAAGACACTTTTAAAATCTAGCAAATTCACAATTCACCCCTTTTTCATGATGTGAAGTTTATTCTACAATAGTTTTTAGAACACAATTCTTTAAATAATAGTGATGTTCAATGATTCAATTTTCAATTGCACAAGTGTATTCCTGTTTCAAATGTCACCTACAAAACTTACCAGCTGCTCCTATCAAACCACTGAGCCATCCCAGACGTTCATTTAATTCACTGTGGATTGTTTCCAACAGGTTTAAAAGAAAATTAACTGTTGTATTAATTTTTGTAAGTTTATCTAGGGTTTCCTCATATTTTAAAGAGGCTAGCTCATGATGATTTAGTATCTTTTGAGTACTTAATTCTGAAAAGAAAGAAAAAATACAAATATAAGGTATTGATCAATTGATAAATAATCAAACTTCAAATTTCTAAATTATAGTCTCAAATGTGTCTTAAGTAAAAACCAAATTCTTAGGTTTTTATTCCACTTTAACTGCCTACTAGATAAAGTCATTAAAGTAACAATATTATTTGTTTTGAACATTTATGGCTCAAATGCAAGAATCCCAAAATCCTAATAGCCAGTTAAAAAGCAAAAGAAACAAAAGAATCTTAATTGGTTGAAAAAAAAAAAAAAAAAAAAAAAAAAAAACCAACAACAACAATCATATGTTCTCACCCAATTTTTCACGCAAAAAAGCCGTTAAGTAAAAAAAAAGTTGAGTGAAGTGAAGTTGCAAAAAGTACTCAGATTTGGAAAAATTATTACATTGACTTACTTTCAAACTATTTTTAAGTAACAGATTTCATTATGGGAAATACTATCTTTAATATTTTAGTTGAAGGAAGACACTGAAAAAAACTTTGCAATTTTCAAAAAATCAGGTTTTTCACCAAACACAAGACCTGCACTATTCTCTTAAAAGTTCTTTACACTATCCCACAACAAAACTGATTCGTAAATGATGGAGCCATTTCTTTTTTAATTTGGAAAATGCCCCGGAGGCTTCATGTGAAGTACCCCCTAGAATTAAAATATCTGTTTCAAATTTAAGGGGCTGTAATATCAGCCAGGAAGATTGAGGAATATCAATTTTGGAGAAAATGGGATAAACAGTTTAGCTGCTAGCATTGTCATCATTCGATTTTTTGGTATCAAGGACCCACAAACCAAGGATTCTTTACGTTCTCTCTACTCCTTTGGGAGAAAGTAAAAAGGGAAATGAGACAAAAGAAAACAAAGTTACAAGTGGAAGAACCAGACATGAAAAGTTTGAGGAAGTAATACGATTTTTTTTGTTGTTGTTGCAATCACTCAATTATTATTATTATAACCCACTCATGCTTGATATTCACAAAAATCTCAACAGGCCCTCTAAATGATCAAACAACCCCTCAATCATCAACCCACTGAATGGTTGTTTTTCATTTTGGAAAAAATTCACAGAAACTCTATCATCTGAACCACCAATATATTTCTAAAATTCCATTTCAATCTGATCTGGAAATCAGATCATCACCTTAAAGAGTACATCAATGCTAGCACCTAAACCTTACAGACAATTTTCTCCAAAATTGATACTCCACAATCAAATTGAAAGAACTCAAGGGCCTGAAAGTTTGAAATGGATATTTTGATTTTTGGGGGTACTTTACATGAAGCCTCAAGAACTTGAACTTGATTTAGAAATTTTGAAAAAGACTCCAAATTTTTTTATTCAACTTTGTCCTTGGATAGCATAAACAATGTTTCAAACGCATGGCGCGGTTCTCATTTTCATTAAGATCACTGACTTTTCAAAAATGTTGGTCAATTTTTTCAAATCAGGATGGATGGATGTTTTGCAATCAATCAATTTTTTTTGCAACAAGGATCCACAAAATGTGGATTTTGTCTACATAAAGCGTTAGTGGAAGTAATTTAATACATATAGAAGCAATCTTTATCAATATTTTTTAGTTACCAGACAGAGTCTCACAAAAGGGATTTGTCAATTGAAAAATCTCAGATTTTGGCCGCAGCATTACAATCATCATCAGAAAGTAAAATATAAATAAACTAAGTTAAAAAATGTCTAAGACTGGGCATTTTTGTAGCTAAATAATTGAACATTTTCATTTCTATTTCAGAAATTATTCCCATCAACACAGAAAAAATAAATTCTCACCAATTTCATTCCATATATATTTTGCTTGCTCCTTAATTACTTCCAAGTCTTGAACAAGTTGGAGATGGTTGCTCTTTTGCTCTGAAGATTGATCCATTAGCTGAGCACTAGCAGCATCTAAAGAAGAAATGATAAAACATAGTTATCTATTTTATTTATACAGTAAATTAAAACATGTACAATTGTAACGAATTCATCTAATTGGTATTTGAAACTAAGAAAAAATTTTATTTTCAATAAAAATTAATTTTTGACGAAAAAATACACAGTTATCAAAAATCAAACAAATATCCTCAGTCACTATTGAAAATTCTCATTGAATTCTTGACTACTGAAGGTTAAATCAGCAACTCATAGTATCATAAACCATTTCTCTACAAAACAACACTAAAACAAACTTGTCTACACTAGCGGAATCGTATAAGAGACTCCGACAGTTCTCTCGCCACCTGCTGTAGTACATCATGTGACCTGCATTGAATAAATTAGCATGCGAGAATTTGTTTACATTCTTACAGGCAGGGTCCAACATTGCCACTCATCTAACTCACATGAAGTCGAGGAGGTGATAAGGTTCAGCTTTGTCATAAGTTATGAACATGATATCAGGATGTGTCATAGCCTGTCAGTAAGAGTTAATGTTGTGAGATGTAATTCATCTGTGATAGTGGTGTCATGTGCGAAGTAACATGTGGCAACCGCATTGAACTGTCAGAATCACTTATTCACTGACAGTACCGTAGTGTTTGCAAAATTAGCATACAGTCATTCAATTGAGTACTTCAATTTGTATTGAACAAGGGTTAATCCAAGCACATTTTAATCTGAAAATCACCGAACCCAACAGAAAAATCTCATTATGCCACACATGCTATATATTTTCATGAGTACTAAAACATTTGCTTAAAAAAAAAACACAAAAATATATTTTCACATCTTTAGTCATACCGAGTTTGGCTTTGATATCTTCAGTAAGTCTGCTAAGTTCTTTATGCCCTGCAGCAATCAATGCCTTTTCTCTAGTCAGTTCTCGTAAGTTGAGCCCCACAAAATCTCGAAGATTCTGTTGTGTTATTTTCATTCGTTCTTGCTGCAGTAAAAGAGACTCTTGGCCAGTAGCAAGAGATTGCAACGTTTCAGCAGCAAAAGACCCCAGTTTCTGTTGGCCCTCCTGAATAGAAAAAACACATTCAATGCAGCAATTACTTGGCATTTCAATTTTCTGAACTTCAATCTTTCTCAATCAAACCTAGATTTTTTTTTTTTTACGCAGATTCACTCATTTACATTAAGTTACTTCAAACTTCTCAGTTGTCTCAACACCAATACATTTACTTTCAGTAACTAGGATTTGAAGTGCTTTGAATTCTCAAAACCAAGAATATGTACACTTCTTTCCTATAAAACAGTATCTTTAATACAAGAATTTTTTAAAATCATTTTTATGATAAAATGGACAACTTCACCCAAGAAACATATAAACAAACAAATAGAGAGAGACATTTATGACAAATTCAGAAAGAATTACTTTTTATATTCAATTCTTCCCTTGATTTCATTTAATGAACCCAAAGCATAACCCCAAAGCATTGGAATCTCAACAATATGATCTGAAATATCAGTTATAAAATCCATGTTTAAAATTCTTTTCAGGAGTAACTTCACACACATCAGGAGTAATGTCAAAGTAGTGCTGCTACAAAGATGGTTAAGATTAGACAGGTGGAGAGGAGATACAAGCAATTTTGTACCCAAAAATTGATTGTTTACATAGATGAATGTGTCACACACAACTCTTGTAGATTAGAGGCGCTCGAGCTAAAACTTCATCAATACATCAGGAGTAAGATCAAGTTGTACTGTTTCGGAAATCATTAAGATATTTTAATTTTAGGTAGTCCTTTACATGAAGCTCTAAGATATTTTCAACACATTCTAAAAAATGGCTAAAACTTTTTTTTGAAACTTATCCTCAAATAGATGAAAGTGTATTTATAAGTATGGTATAGTTCCCATTTTCATTACGTGATACTTAGAAAATTGCAAAAGCTTTTTTTAATTAAAGCACTAAGGGTTTCATTTAAAAATAGACTGAGCTTTCCACTCAATCAAAGTTTGTGATTTTTGCAATAAATGGTAGGTAGTGAGCCTCACATATTATATCGCTTACTATTATTTACTGGATTTATAATACAAACATATTTTAATAATATCATAAAATTAATAGAATGAATACTAATCTGTTGTCATTTGTTCATTATTTCATTGTATATGTTGTAATCTATTGAAAGTATTCCTCTGCAAGAAATCATTGGAGTATATGGTGGTTGTTAGAGAAGCAAATACAGCTAGTTTCCATAAGTATAAAGAGTATTTTTAAATATAAAGATAATTATTGAAGTATTTTTGAGGTTATGTAAACATGTTCAGCGATAGTCTGACATGTGTCCTTTCACAAAATAATTTCTGTAATTAAAATTACATGGTGCATTATGTTTTAAAAAAAAAGTGAACATAGGATTTCTTTTCACATATTCATACAAAATACACATACAAATCTTGGTAAATAAAAATATTTCCATTATATTTTTATAAACATGTTGAATTCTCAAGTTCACAATGCATAGTGATTCCTATAAACTTCCCTCACTTTATTACTCTTCGACAGTAAATACCAAACGACATGAAATAATGTTTTTGGAGGGTTTTCTATTTCCCATATAGTGAAAATGTATATAAAAATGTAGCCACATTCCAAGCATATCTAATATTTATTGTGTATTCTTGTTGCTGGAAATTTTTAAAATCATCCCTACTTTCGAAGTCACTTTTTCACCCATATTGATTCTATGGCTGGATATTTTCTAACTTCAATTCGATTATAGATCTTTAAATGATGTCATGCACTTTTTTAAATATAAAAGTAATTATTGAATAATAACACTGAGAGGAGAAAAAGTTCTGGTATGCTGCACATTCCCACTAGATTTTAAAAATTTCAACTAATTGAGAGTTGAGGAATAGAAAGGAGGAATAAGAGACATTGAAATTAGGAAGGTTGAAATTGCTTTCTTCTGAATGCTTCTAGTAGCATTTAGTTGCTCTGATTGCTAGTAATATTTCTTTGATCCCTGTGAATAAGCTGATAAGTCATGAAAACTTAATTTTGCAGGAGAGCAAAAAACTCTTCAACAATTCAAAAATTTTCAACTGAAGTAAATCAGGGATAAATGATATTCGACTAAACTATCTGTTCATTTGGATATCTGACTTACAGCATCAGTAGAAAGATGTTTTTTGCTCTCCTGTAAAATTAAGTTTTCATTACTTATCAGCTTATTCACTGGTATCCAAGATTTAGAAGCACATTGTACTTATTATTTGAATTAACACAAAAGTACACACATTTCCACAACAATGTGCAATTTTTAAAGATTTTGCAAAACTTTTAAAGTGCTCTTCCAAAGAAGCAGCTAAAGGTATCACCAAAGGTATTATGTTGAGAAAGCTTACAAAAATTGAAATGTCCAACTTTCAAATTGGAAACATGTTGGAGTGCTGACAGATTTTCCTCAATTTTCTGGATGAGGAAGAGCACCACTTCAAGCAAAAGAAAAAATATTGTATGATTGGGCCAATGCATGTAATTTCAAAGAAATTCACAATAAAATTAAACACTCTGCTGGCAGGAAAACCGTACCACAAGCCCTCAATGCCCTTTCACTATTGGCCGCATTTCTAGTGAAAAGGAAAGTAATACAACTGTAGTGTAACAGCACTTTCAGAAAAGAAAAAAAAGAACTACATTATCAACATTTTTAATTATAATACTTGACTAATAAGAGGTACTTATTCAGGTATGGGGAATTGAAAGTGGAATAAAGAAGTCTCAAATATTCATTTATCACAAAAGGGTCCACAGTAAATACACAAAGAAGCCAACAAAACCTACAAGACATCACCATCAACATGACTCAGAAACAGCTTAGTAGGTCTTCAGCGAGGCAAACACCTTAGCAGGACCAGATTTTATTCACCCACAATTGACCAAATAACACGTTACCACACTTCATTTAGACTGAAAACTTCCTTACAAAAGTGAAAATGTCTTCTGCATCTTTGTTGATAGTAGAATGTTTCAAAACTACGGTTTGCAAAATGTTTTTATTTTATTTATTTTCAAAATTAAAGGCTGTTGCCCTTCTTCAATAACAAATACAAAACATTTATTAGAAATTATCAAGTCTGCAAGTAATTTATATTTTGCTTATGACAGAATGTTATCTAAAAAAGCCTGTCTATTCAGCCTTGATTGTGGTTCTGCTTAATACTAACTCATTGAGCTCCTTCCCACAGAAAATCTGTTTCTATCACTGCTCTTGGGTTCAGAACTCCTTTGCAATTGCACAGCTACAAAAAACAAACTAAACTTGAAAAAACTATTTGAATTCAAGAGTCAATGCGTATTACAAAGAGCTTATACCTCAAATTTGAAAAATATTTATGTATCTTAGAAAATTATATATGCCATTAGGAGAATTCTATGAATACAACTGTATTAAAAGTATTTAACTCAACATGTTACATTTACAACTCACAATTTTTTGAGAAATTTAACTGGAAACTATTTGTAGCACTTGTATTCAAAAAAGCAATAATGTGTATTAAAAGAAATATTAAGAAATAAAAAAATAATTTCAAAAAAGCCAGTAATATTATCAACACGGGATATTAAAGAAACTTGTATCATTTTTTAAAAATCAAATGAATACATCATAACAGCATTTAAGTCATGTTATTCAGAGTAGTTAGCAAAATCCATGCAAAAAGTTCAAAGGAAAAATTTGGACCAATTTTTGAGAAATTGTCCATTCAGGTACAAGTTTTTTTCCTTCAATAAGCCCTTCAAAACATATTTAGAACCTTGTGTTATTTTTGTACTGTTTTATCTCAGCAGTTTCTAGATATCTTCATGAACAGTAAAGAAAACATGTTCTTCCTCATGATTAAACTATTCACTTCAACGGGCAACATTCATGAGATTTAAATAATTTCCTTTCTTCAAAAATTTTGCAAAACTTCTAATTCATGTTTTGTTTTTTTAGTTAAATTGATAAGGAAATTAAAATATATAAACATTCCCTGTCCGTTATGATGCTGTATTACAAATGGTAAGGCAGCGTAGTGTTCCATTGTCACTGTGCAGATCACTAGAGACACTCGTCAACATATCATCAAAGGGCAAAGGCAGCCCACATGAAAACATGTGTGATGTTTTATAAAGTAATAATAATGTACAAGAATGTTTCATCTCTAGGATTCAGGGTTTCCACCTAAACATTAAAATATAAACATTTCTAAAACTCAATTTATTTAACAGCTGAAAAATTCAAACCTTGAGCTTTTCCATGGTTGACAATTGGCTGTATGCTGTCTGCATAAGTTTATTCACAGCAATATCTGACTGAGCTCTGAATTGTTGTTGTCGTGCTGAATAACAGACAGCTCTTGCTCGATTGCTGATCAAATGATAAGCATTCCACATGTCTGCATCCATAGCAGAAGTGCACTCCTTAAGAGACTAAAAAGAACCATAAAAAAAGACACATTAAAAATTGTAATTTATTTTAGACCCCTCAAATAACTTGACTGTACAAGTGTTCATGTATCTGTACGCAAATACAATCCTTAAATGTACTCATGTTTACACACATGTTATTACGTGTATACTGTTAAACATCAAATCTTATTTATTTATTGCTTCATCATTTAAAATTGCATTCATGCACATTAACATGTCAGCAGACTGGTTTTTGTTAACAACGAAAATGGATTAAGACAGAGGTTTCAAATTATAAATTTCTTACAATAAAAATAAATAAAAACACTGAGAGGACCCAAATTGATTTAAGTTCACTGTTGACTTTGAAATTGGAAAACATCGCCCCACCCCACTCACCTCCTCAACAAAGAAAAACCTTGAAAAGAGATACATTACCAGAAAATATTGAAAGATAAAAACATACCATTTCATCGGTACATGGAAACTGTTCACGCCCTTCAACTGCAGCTTGACAGTTCAGCAAATTCACACTCATTTTTGCCAATTCTTCTTCTGTCATTTCCGAACATGACGTACGTATTTTTAACACTATCTGAAATTTACAAGTCGTTTCACAAATTAGTTTCTATGCATACAAAAGCAGTAAAATATTCCAACATAATGTGGCACAAAACCTTCAAAATTCATAATTAACTCCAAGTTATCAAGAAAATAGAAAGGTATTGGTTAAAACTCTGAAAATAATTTACAAAAATATAAATGGTTAAAATTTAGTATACGGTACACCCTTAGAGAAGCGTGGCAGCAGGGCTTAAGCCCTAATTACAGTGCGTGCTCTAATAGAAATAAATAAAACTTAGGGGTAGGTGATTTTAATGATTTGCCCTTCATATGCTTTGTCCCAGCCACATTGTAGCACCAGTTTACTTTCAAAGGCAAATTTTCTCACTTTGCTCGCCCGGTTCCAAGTCACAGCGAAGCTAGAGCCTTCAGCCCTCACTTTCATTATAAACATCATTGAGTCTATCTAATGCATAATTACTAATTCACTTTTGTAAGACATCACTTTTCAAGAAAGCCTCCAGAATTCAAACTGCTTAGTGAACGCCGGAATGGCGCGAAGTACCAAATTAAATGACTTCCTTAGGTTGTATCGTATACGTCATTTCAGCCAAATAAATAAATAAAACACATATGTTGTATATTACACCAAAATCAAATTATCAAAAATTGAGAACTTTGCAGAAAAGGAAAGAGCACAAAAATCAAACATTACTCAATACAGGCCAATGGACCAGTATGAAGTCATCCTCTAAAATAATTTAAAATGTCGATGATTTACTCTTTTTTTGTTTGTTTTGTTTTGTTTTTGACTCTGTGGGTACACACATATACTTTCCATTGTATTCATCTATTTGTTTACTACTGATAAACTGTAGTTCAGAATACTGAAATTTGGTCTTAACGTAGTAATACGAATGACAATTTCTCAGGCAAGTTACATGACATGCATGATTTGAATTCCTTTCAAAATTCCACCTCAGCACTATTAATGATCGATTATCTTGCCAAAATCATTGCCATTAATTTACAAAATCAAACATATTTAGGTATTTTAGCTCACTATATTACAACAATACAAGTACCAAAAATAAACAGATAAGGACTGAATTATTTCTTTCTCAAAGATCATTCAAAATGCAATATTTGTGAAAATTTCGGAAACAAATACAGAATTGTTTACATGAGAAAATTTGAAAATCATGAGACTGTGACACTGGGTACTATTTCGCTCCCCTCAAACTTTCAGGTACAGGTAAATGTAATGATTAACAGAACAAATAAGCACATTCAATATAGTATTTTCAATATAGGCGCATTCAATAAAATATTTTGAAATTACGAGAAGATAAGAAACGTGAGCAAATTTAAAGTAGTTTAAACCGTTCAAACAGATCTTCATCTTTAAATCAATTTTCTCTTACTGTTGAATGAAATAAGTGTTTATACAATTAGTAAAAAATAAATATAAGGATTTGGTAAATTAGAAGTAAATTTTACATCTAAGTCTTTACTTTTATTTATTTTCGAGACACGCCTTCATATTATTTCACGTGCAATGACTTGGCAAATAACACAAATACCCAAGGTGCTTGTATAACGCACTATTTATACCTTATGTTGGCAGGTATCCAATTCCGAAAGCTGCAAATCTGTGTACTTTTTGGCAGCTTCCAGAAACTTTTCATCGTCGGTTTTGGCTTCATATGGAACATTTGGCACAGGGACATCACCAATGTATTCAATAACTCTGTTTTCATTTTTCGAGGCGGTAGATTTCCAAAGCCAATTCACACCCCAAATCCAACAATTACAACAAGAAAATAAGCTTAAGAGCACAAAGACCGAAAACAGATGCACGTTCATTGTTGTTTTACATCAAGGTCAGGTGTAAAAGTTCATAAATTCAGTAGCGTTTCCACTGGCACTCGCTTGCATGCACTCGTTCAAGTTCAAACTTGATCGTTTTCGTGACATTCACATTACGCTACGCATGTTATCCACAACAAACTTCAGGAGCAAAAAAATCCTAATCATAAATTCGTAGTTTTGTATCAAGAAAAATATTATCATTTCCTGAAAGAATAGTTGACATAATTTTCTAATTTAAAAAATACATTTCACAACCAAATATTTTGGCTTCTTTTACGAAAATACATAAAGACCATAATGGGCAGAATATGCCAGTGAATTGGCAATACTGATTTTCTTGAGTGGCCTTCATGGAGACAAAGGAAGACAACATAATGCGAAAAGTGGTAATTTTTGCTGTTGCTAAATACATACTGGATTGTTTATATACATTTTTTTTTGTCGTGTGTCAAAAAAATATTTTTGTATTAGGATATTGAGAATAAAAATTTGGCCACCCACTGTACATTTAGAGAACTAAAATGTAGTATATATGTATAGCCACAAAAACGACTTCTGGCTTCCATACTACAGAAAACTGATGATGATGGCTAAGCCATCGAAAGCTGCTTTTTTAATAAATAATAGTTGGCAATGACGACGCATTTAATTATTTCATTAGAAATGCCAACGATAACTTACCACAATACCTATATACTACATTTTTGTTCTCTAAATGTACAGTGGGTGGCCAAATTTTTATTCTCAAGATCAAAATTCCATTATTTTTGGAGTTGAACTTAATTAATATTTTAACTATTGACTGTTATTTTGTAAATATATGCATTTATTCATAGTTTTTTAGTTTGGCAACACTCGTCAACATGTCAAATAACTCTTCCATGACCATATTACATAGTGTGTTCACGTGACGCGTGATTACGGATTGAAGTTATTTTGAAACATTTGTTCTCTTTGGTATTGTTATTCTGGTAAGCAAGAGCATTTAATGGAATCATACCACAGAGAATGTAATTTCGACATTTACCACGATTTATTGTATTATTTGATTTTTTTTAATGTCAAGAACACAATCCTAAAAATTATTTCAGTGGTCATGGGTAAATGTTTTGATCTCATGTCGTGAAAAATGGACGAATTGTTAAATCGATTCGCTTGTGTAAGTACACACAAAGAGAGATTGCTAGTAAGGAAGGAGTTGAGCAGTCAACAGTTCGGAATATCAAAAGAAAGCTTCAGGTTGATATCCATTTAGGAACCAAAAGAGTTGGAAATTGTGGCAGAAAAAAATCACTTCATCAACAACTGAACGGGATATACGTCGCATTGCAATAGAAAACCGTCGGAAACCACAAAAATGTGTAAACATGATTCTCAAAGATGCTGGAGTGCATCTATAAGAGTGACCTTCCGGAAGAAGGTTTGTAGCAATGGGTTTCAAGTGTCGACGACCTGTGAGAAAACCCAAATTCACAGCCAAAATGATGAAAAATAGGTTAATTTTTTCAAAAAAGTAATGGAGTTGAATCGAAGAAAATTGGAACAAGATCTGTAAAGTGTTCACAAAATTAAAACAGCCAACGAGTTCACAATCGTCTAAAAATATTATTGAGCAGATTTGCTTCTCAGACTAGTCAATCCAGATCTTGCGTGACAAAATACAAGTCATTCGACGCAGGTAATGCATATATATTCTCTGGTGAATTGAAAAAATACAATAAGAACTTTATTGTGGAACGAGTAAAATATCCTCTTTCTGTTCTGATACGGTCGGTTATTATCTGCCAAGGCATAGGAAGGCTCTTCTTTGTACAAAGAACCATGCGCCTGGACCAATTCAAGGTGGTGTTACAGAAAAAATCTCAATCCTCAGGTGAAAAAATAGTTCCCGAACTACTTTGAATTCATGCCTGGTGTGGCTTCATGTCATTAAGCACTAAAAATAACATTCTCTCAAGAAAAACAGCATTAAAAACCCTAGGCGCGTCTGGGAACTCACCGGATACGAATCTGATAATGTGTGGGAGGAATTGAAAAAAGAAATATCGAAGATTAAATTATTAAACTAACAATCAACTTATTGTGAAAACCATTAGGGTTTGGAAAAAATATCTTCCATTGTCGAAAAGAGCCATAAAGTGAATCATAAGCGTGTGCCAGTATGCATGAAAGCTCTCAAGAAAGCCAAAAAACTGAAGAATTTATTTCAAATAATTTATTTAAGTACTAACACTTGGGATGTGATTAATGTAAAGGAAAAAAGGCGTGAGGAAAGTATGGGGTCCTAAGGGTCACTTGCTTGGATAGGATAGTTGTGATTTTTTGGAATGGAATTTGACATAAAAGGATCGATTGGAGAGGTAACATTAGAGTAGAGAGTGAATGTGGTGAGGGATGTAGGAGCAAATTTTCGTTAATAGGATTGATTGAGAAACGGAATCATAGGCTTGAGTTAAATCTGTTAGGATAGGGATTTATTTACGATCTTGGAGAGGAGTGGCTATGGAGGGAGAAAGGTTTAAAGTTTGGAGAGACGCAGAGCATCCATTGCGGAATTCAAATGGGGAAAGGTGAAGGATGGTGTCGATTATGGGGGTTAAAGGGAGAATTATTTTTTCAAAAAGTTTCCTTCGGATGGGCAGAACGCTGATTGGTGTATTTGGAAGAATGCTGATGGTCGTTTGCTTGAAGTCCATAGACGTAAATCCGTAAATGTAAATCGTTAAAGTAAATTCGTAAACTTAAGAGTTCACGGTAACTTAAAAGTCCCGAGCTTTTAAGTTTCTGTCGAAATTCTACCGAAAACCAATCGGATAGAAGAATGAAAACCAACAAATGAACGACAGAATCCGCAAGCGATAGGTCCATTTCAGATTGTGTTCAGGTCTGTGGACACGCCATTGTGTGTTGGCTATGATTATGTTATTTCTACATTTTTATGTAGTGAACTAGTTTGCGAACGCTTTTGGTGCGAGTAGTGAAGTCAAAGTAAGGATTCAGACGTATTTCTTGTGACTTTCACTTGAGATGGCGAATAAAATAATTTTGTTCGACGAATTACTCCTGGATTTGGTACAAGAGAATCCTTGTTTACTAAATAAATGGAATGGAAGCACAAATTCAACAGCTACTCGAATACATGACAGGCTTAAATAGTTAGGAATGTCGAAAAACGAATCGATCATGCTTCAATACTGAAGTGAATCAACCATTCCTTCTTTTAAATACGTATAATTTTTGCAATATTAATTTGCTTTTAAACTATTTATTATACTTTACGGCCTCACATTAGAACTACGATTGAAGTGAATCAAACTAATTTCTACTTATAATATTTTCTCTCTCTCTTTATAATTAATGGAGTGGCTAGCTCTGGTTTTAATTTAATTTTCTGGGCGTCAACATACTTACGTTATCACGAAAGGTCTATCTTGTCTCACGGGTCCGAAAATACTGCTCGTACGAGTGTTCGGGTGGCGAACAATTTAATTTTTGTTAAGGAATCTTTGTTACTAATAAATTAAACAATCTACAAATTTCGTTTATGACTGGAAAGCGATACTAGGTGTCGGCTGTCACGATTTATTCATTTCGAATTCCTTCTTAATTAATTTTTTTCAACAATGTATTTTTTTATTTTTCTAGTTTTGATTGATGGCCATCAAATTTCTACCAACAAAACACACATAATAATTCTTACTTAATCTTAATGTTAACTTAATATTTAAACACGACTTGGCCTTCTTATAATATTTTTATTAAGTCTGTCATTTATTGCCTAAACTTCCCTTTCGCAGAATCTACAGCAATCTTGGCGCTGTTAATTACGCCAGCGACTATTCCAATTCCATGTGAAGCTCCTCTAATGTCCACACTGAATTTCAACTAATAAAATTTCTATTCGTATTCGCGATCTATTGATCCCATGAATATCACAAACTTTTTCCAAAACTCTTATTTAAATCACTTTGCTATTCTCCCGTTACCCGTGGACTTCATGTCCGTTTTCTATCTCTTGGGAGTAATCACAAAAATATTACTACACAATGCCTTGATAGCCATTGATCCTCATCCTACCAAATCGGAGATCATTCTGTCTGAAATTCCTCGTTTACACTTTCTATCGGGTCTCACCGGTTCACTTGTTTGATTGTTATCGTTCTTCCTCGATGCGCTCTAGTCCGCAACTAAATACCAAGCATCATTTGTCGCCTATCAACAATGTCTTAAAACATTTTTTTACTATATTTTCGAAAAATTTCTCAATTGTTCAAATTTTATTACATTCAATTAATATTTAGATTTTCTGATTCTTTACGTTCTCAACGTCTCATTAATATCACCGTCTTCCTTGCGTAATCCCTTATATTTTGCGAGCTGTTGGACATTAAAGTTTTTGCTTCTAAATGCCAAAAATCCCTTTAAGTATTTTGCCTTGCCTCAATTCGTTGAATTCCTATTGATTCTGTCGAAACTTTGTCATTGTGAATGCTCGTTTTTACGCGAAAAGTTTACTGCCAAGTTTACGGCATTAAAGTACGGTTAAGTTTGCATTGTGAACGAGGGCTTATCTCATTTAATGAACCATTGATTATTTTGAAGTAAAAAATAAAAAGTTATTGGAAATCATTAGAGAGGATTGTTAAAAAAAAGTAGAATGTAAGCACTAATGATAGCGAATTAGGCGCGAAATTCATCCAAGGCTATGACATCATTAAAGTATTTAAAGATACGTCAACACAAACTCGACCACCTAAAACTCCGTTCTATTCACCCAAAAACACCATCAAAGTTATCCTGAGAATTTCAAACTGCGAGGCGTTTCCATTATTTTATTGCAACTTGATAACTCCTGGAAGCTTCCAGAAAAGAAGGGTGGAGAATACATGTCTATTTCAAAATTCTCCAAACTGCTCATACTTTCAAAAAAAATGTACATGATTATTTAAAGATCTAATTATAAAATTGTACATCCTGCTGGCGCGAAAATTTCAAGAAAATTCAATCCGTGGGATGATACACGCAAATCGCTAACAGGTAATGAAGTTAAAGTTAAGCTTTATTGTTAGACAAGTCTTTTATTGT